AGGAAGGAATAGACTAGGAATAGAATTCACTAACAGAGAATCAGCCAACAACTTCATGAACAACAAAATCCTAGAGGCAAACCAATGGGAAGCTTTCATCCCTCTCACACTAGTAACTTCAAAGGGCCTAGTCAGGGGCATAGAACTGGAAACAACCATGGAGGAACTGATAAAAGAGGGTAGATCAGCATGCAAAATTCTGGCTGCCCGAAGATTTAACAAAAAAGTAATTACTAAGGGAATCACTACCTATGAACCTTCAGAGACAGTAGTAATTACATTCCAAGGCAAGAAAATCCCAGAAAGCATAGAAATCAACTATTATGAAGCAAGAGTCCAGGTATATGTAGACCCTGTTCTACAGTGTATGAACTGCCTAAGGTTTGGTCACTCAAAAAAAATATGCAAGAGCAAAACTAGATGCCCCAGATGCACACTGGAACATGAAATCACCCAATGCAAAGAAGCAAAACCAACATGTATACATTGTAAACAAGAACATCTAGCCACATTTAAAGAGTGCCCGGAATACAACAACCAAAAAACCATTAAAGAAATGATGGCCTTCGAAAACATCTCATACTATGATGCTAAACAAAGAATGCCCAAACACACGAATTTCACTGGCAACGCACAAGATTTTCCAAGGTTAACCATCCCTCAACCATTTACTGAAACTATAGAGGTAAGTCAGAGAAGGACACGCGCAAACCAGGAGACAAGGAGTACAAAGTACTCCCAGGCCGTCAACTCACGAAAAAGAAAACCATCATCCCCCCCCACATCTTATGATATAGAGGAACATAGAAGAAACCTAATTCCCCCCCCCTGCAGAACTCCAAGAACACCCAGTATGAGGCCATACTCCCCAGTAAATGAGGGAGAGCAACCCAACATGGAAGCCCACCCCTTAAATATAGTAGACCTGCTAAGAGAAATGCTTAAAATGACAACGCTAACAGAAACAATCAGGACCAAAGTCCTGGAAGAAATTCAATCAGTAGCAAACACTTACACGCTCATAGATTCAACCAATGCAGACATGGAAACACAAGAAATAGGTCTAAGGAGCCCAGCAACGGATGGCGAATATTATTAGCACATACCCCCCAACCGTCCAAGGACACCCAAGCCTAAAAATAATCCAATGGAACATCAGAAGTGTAAACTCCAACAGAACCAACCTAACACTGATAATTCACGAGGAGAACCCGGACATAATACTATTACAAGAAACATTTCTGAAACCACACCACAACTTTAAGGAGAAGGGCTACAACATAATCAGGGAAGACAAGCCAACAGGGAAAAATGGCATAGCGATCATGTACAAAAAAGAAATGAAGAGCAACCACACTCCACTCAACCTCAAACACAAACCGCCCAACCTACAAATAATAGGATTATCTACATCCAACACTACAATATACAACATATACAACCCCCCCGGAACAAAACTCACCAAGGCATTCTTCACGGAACTCCTAGAAAACAATCCAAACCCAGTGATAGTAGGAGGGGACCTCAACTCCAAACACCTAATGTGGGGCACAAATTCCCAAGATCACAATGGCAACACCATAGTGGACATTATGGACACACACAATCTAACCTGCATGAACACAGGGGAGCCTACTAGATTAGGACTCCCGAATCAGAACACAAGCGTACCAGACATCACCTTATGTTCAGCCAACCTTATACTAAATAGCTCATGGAGCATTCACTTGGACCCAGGAAACAGCGACCACTTCCCAATAATAATAAACTTCCATCAAATAAGCACAGAAAAATACCAACCCAAACAACATAGAGGCAATTACAATTTCAGAAAGGCAGATTGGCGACAATATATGGAAGCAGCATCAACACATCTAGTAAATAATGAAACAAACACAAACGAGGATCTTACAAACACAATTAAATCAGCAACGGAAATCGCAGTACCAAAGAAACAGTATCACCCCACAAGAAAAGAAAAAAAAATAACCCCAATCTGGTGGGACGAAGAATGTACAAGTGCCATCAAGGAAAGGAAAATAAAGGTGAACAATTACAGGACAAACAGCAATGATGACAATTACCTAGCCATGAAAAAAACCATAGCAGAGACCCGAAGAATTCTCAGAAAAAAGAAAAAAGACAGCTTCATAAAATTCTGCGAAAACCTAAGCAGAGACACCAACATAGCCGAAGTCTGGAGGAAAATCAAATCCTTCAAGAACAAACAACTCTCCCACCAACCAAGAAACGAATTCATCAGCCACAACCTACAGCAATTCCTAACCCATATCACAATACCAGATATCCCCAGAGAATATGAAAAAAATACACCAGGGGCAGAGAACAGTCACCCCTTCACCCTCACAGAATTACAGACAGTACTAGAAGATAGGAAAAAAGACACAGCCCCAGGATACGATGAACTCATTTACTCCCAAATAAAACACCTTCCATTGGAAGGAAAAATCAAACTACTGAAAATATACAACAACATAACAAATGGAGGACACATCCCTCAGGAATGGAAAACACAAATCATCTGTCCCATACTGAAACCGGGAAAGGATCCAAACCACATCAGTAATTACAGACTCATAGCTCTCTCATCATGCATATGCAAGATACTAGAGAACCTTATAAAAAACAGAATAGAATACCAAATAGAAAATATCAATCTACTACATCCCCTCCAATGCGGTTTCAGGAAAGGAAAAGGCATCACAGAAAACCTGGTATGGCTCACTACGACTATATATAGTGCTTTCACACAAAATAAGAAGGTCATGGTGGCCCTGTTGGACCTAACGGCAGCATACGACAACGTTATTATCCCAATCCTCACAAAGAAACTCTCAGGAATGAACATCCCACAAAATCTTATCAACATTACAGAACAATTACTCGGCAACCGATCGATATATATCAGGGACAGCTCGACAGGCTTGATGGACGGACCAGGAGAGGTACTTAAGGGCCTACCACAAGGGTCGGCCTTTAGTCCACTGCTGTTTAACCTCTACCTAAAAGGCATAGAACAGACCATGGAAAAAGGAGTAACGATGCTGGGATATGCCGACGACCTCACACTGGTAGTAACAGGATATGATAATGAGAAAATGGGCACAGCTATGAACAAATCCTTGGAAACCCTCGAAGATTGGATTACAGAACATGGACTGGACATCTCCCCCAACAAATCGGCCTGCATACTCTTCCAGAAAAGAAAGGACAGACAACGGATACCGGACATAAAGATGAAACAAAACACAATCCAATGGAAGAATCAGGTTAAGTACCTAGGAGTGACACTAGATACGAAAATGAAACTCACTGCCCACATCGACAACATATGTGCTAAAGCGCGAAAAGGACTGGATGTAATGAAAGCCGTGACTGGAGTAAAATGGGGGGCTGACCCCAAGACCATGAGCATGATCTACAAGGGTCTAGTAAGATCACACCTAGATTTTGGCACAACCCTTATAATAAACACATCTAAACAAAACCTTCAGAAAATGGACAAAATTCAATATCAAGCACTAAGGATAATACTAGGGGCGATGAAATCGACGCCTACTAACTCCCTCCTTGCAGAAGCAGCAGAACTACCCCTCAAATACAGAAGAATATGGTTAGCTAGTAAAAACATCCTAAAAAACTTGAGCATCGCTGATAACCCTATAACAACTGCACTCATTAATATGTACTCGCACCATGCTCTCAGCACAGAAGCCAGACTCACAGAAATACCCCTCATTGAAGCGCTAGACAGGACCCTCCCAAACATAAACAAAATCAAAAAAGACAGCGGACTCCCATGCTTTACCTTTGAATATGAAACCCAAATGTATCAAATACAAAATACCATTCTGAAATTAAACAAGAAGGCAAACGATAACCAGAAAGATTTCCTGAGAATCATCAACGAAGAGTGGAAAGGCAGTACACTTATATACACAGACGGCTCACATGAACCAAACACCCATCAGACAGGAGTAGGAGTCTACATACCCAGCAGAAACTACTCAGCAGCACTGAGAGTTCAAGACCACACAACAATATGCTCCGCAGAAACCATAGGGATAGCAACAGCAGCAAAAAAAATCACAGACTTCAAGATCGCCCAATCTCTCATCCTAACAGACTCTCTCAGTGCAATCCAGAAAATTACCAAAACAGGAATCAGATCAGAGACAGACAGTTATACACTCATGGCCAAACACTTTATAAAGAAAGCAGGAGACCAGGGACTGAAAGTAGTCCTAGGTTGGATACCAAGTCACACCAACATCAAGGGCAATGAAATAGTGGACACCATAGCAAACAAGGGAAGGAACAGAGTCGCAATCGACTACAAGGAAATAGAATACAGAGACCTCTTACCAAACATGAAAGCAACACTATGGACCCTCTGGGAAGAAGAATGGACAGAAATATGCTGCACGAAAGGAAGACACCTATATAAGATCCAGGATAAACTAAACAAGAAACCATGGTTTGATCAAATCAGCCTCAGCAGGAAACAGATTACCTCCATCACCAGAATGAGACTAGGCCACTGCCACACTCAAGCTCACCTTCACAGAATCAAAGTAACAGATTCTCCTCTATGCCCCTGCGGACTAATAGGTAACCTAAACCATGTATTACTAGAATGCCCTAACAACACCACTAACACAAACCGGCTATACAGAAAAATAGCATGCAGAAACCCCAGCACGCCTACTGCTTTATCAATGTCTGACCTGCTTAGAAATCCAAATGAGCTTACGACCACTGCCTTAACTGAATTCCTCACAGCAAGTAACCTCAACCTATAGTACATGAACTCATTCCAGAACACTGTCACGGGGTAAAGTGATGGTATTTTACCAGACGCACCAAAGTGCAGCTTTCCCTCCTCAATCCATTACAAGAAGACAAAAAACTGGGTAAATAGTCCTTTGAGGCTGAACCCAAAGGGGCCTTTAGAGAAGTCCCCACTGCTAAAGAAGAAGAAGACAACAAACACTAACCAACAAATACTCAGAACAGAAATTTGAAATTCTCAAAATAATTTGAAAATTATTTTCATATTTTCAGTTTGATTGATGATTGGTATATATTCTGTAATCACCATTAGAGTTGTTTCGTTCGTTGACACATAACATATTATTGTAATATGATATTTGTGCAAATGTTGAAGAAAATTAATCCCCAACATTACTTATGGTGTTTTCGATATTTCTCATTGGACAAACGATATGATGTGATTGTAGTTGGGGGTGGACATGCTGGCAGCGAAGCATGTGCTGCTGCAGCCCGAATGGGTGTCAAAACTCTACTCATTACCCATAGAAAGGACACCGTGGGTGAGATGTCCTGTAACCCTTCTTTTGGAGGTATTGGAAAAGGACATTTGATGAGAGAAATTGATGCTCTAGATGGAGTGTGTGGTCGAATTTGCGACTCATCAGGAATACACTTCAAAGTTTTGAATACAAGAAAGGGTCCTGCTGTTTGGGGGTATAGAGCCCAAATTGATAGAAAACTGTATAAGACAAATATGCAACATGAATTGTTCAATAACACTGTGAATCTAGATGTGCTTGCAGCACCTGTTGAGGATTTGATAGTAGAAGACAGATATGATCATTGTGTTGAATGTAAAGGTGTTGTTCTGAGTAAGTGTAGATTTTTATAGTTTTCATTGTTGTTCTCTTCCATATTCAATTTTTCAGAGGATGGTACAAAAATATCCTCTAGTAGTGTGGTGATAACTACTGGAACTTTTCTCAAGGGACAAATAAATATAGGTTTGAACTTTTACCCTGCTGGAAGGTTAGGAGATGAACCAGCAATTGGTTAGTAGCTAATACCATGTACCTGAATCCACTTGAGCTTTGCTAATACTAATCCTATGCTGATTGATTAGCATATATCATTTTTTTTTTCAAGGGTTGGCTAATACTTTGGAGAAATTGAATTTACAAATGGGTAGACTCAAAACTGGTACTCCTCCAAGATTGAAGGCTGACACAATCAATTATTCTGTTTGCCAAGTTCAAACAGGAGACATGCCTCCTCTTCCATTTTCTTTTATGAATTCTAAAGTTTGGATAAATGTATGTAGGTAGTTTGATATAATTAGTGCAGTATAGCATAAATAATTATATTATATATTTTTAGCCTAAGGATCAGCTCAAGTGTCACTTAACTAAGACTCCTTTATCCATTGAAAAAATTATTAAAGACAATCTTCATCTAGACAGACATGTAATGGAAGAAGTAACTGGACCTAGGTATTGTCCAAGCATTGAATCAAAAATTCTCCGCTTTCCAGGAAGGGAGCACCAAGTTTGGTTAGAACCTGAAGGTCTTGATAGTGACCTTGTTTATCCAAATGGCCTATCATGTACTCTACCTGAAGAAAACCAGTGGCAACTGATAAGAAGTATACCAGGTTAGTGTCTCAACTAAAACTGCTGTGCAATTATTTTTTAATCTATTCTGTCCAGAAGTTTTGGTGGAATTTACAATAATCATTTATCATAATTTTGACTATTTAGATAAGTTTATGTTTGTTACAAAAACATAGTTAATCAACTTTTAGTGGTACATAAAGATTGTTCTGACATATAATTTTTTGTTACCAGAAATCAACTCAATGAAAGAGCTATATTTTTCAACAAGCCCACATTTGCCAATATATTCAGGGCTCTACTACCACCTTCACTATAAAATTATGGATGTTCATTGCTCTTTCTTTATGAATAAATACAGACAAAAATTGAAATGATCAATGCATTTGGAATTACTACATGTAAATAAATACTGTAATTTGACAGAAAATGCTTCACCAGAAAAGGTTATTTTTAAAGTGATGTGTGGCAGAGGGTTGTGGATAGGTACTTTTTTATGCCACTCATGAAATTTTTAATATTTTCAATTAGTAAAATTCTCTGTCTAATTTTGTTGAAAAAAAAAATGCATAACACTTAACTGAACTGAAATGTAGAGTTTTTGAGATTTAAATTGAAATCTTGTCTATGGTGAAATGTTGTGAAAATCTAGGTTAGATAGATCAAATCATGCTGAACAAGAAATGTCCCTTGGTCCAAGGTCCATTATGCCCATTAGAAAAAGTTATGAGCTCTTGAAGCCAAGGAGATAACCTCCATACCAGCATAGTAGAAATTGTAGAGGGTCTTTGTACCTATAGGTTCTGAATGTATGTGTGAGTGTAAAATTTGTTAACCACAGTCAATCTGGTTTCTCTTGAATGTTTGAGTACCCTTTACTGGTTTTAATTTCTTTTTGGAAGTTTGAATTCAAATGGTGCAGGGCCATTTCAATAGTAAAATATTACAAAAATATATGGTCTGTCATATTATACAGGGTTGGGCAAAGGTATGGAACCAGGTGAATATCTTGGTAACCGTTTGTTGAATTTTTTTGAAAATATGTACAGGGTGATTTCAAAACGTGGTATAGAATAATAACTAGGTTTAGCTACAAAATGAAAACTAATAAGTACCTAATCAACTCACCACTCAGAAATAAATTTTTGTAATAATTTAAATGCCATTGAAAATGATGAAACATTTTATTCAAGGGCCAATATTCCAAATATGTGAGAAACTTATAATATTGCCACAAAATTCTTGAAAACAGAACATGTTTTGCTAACACAATAGCTACCTTAAATCATTCAAATACTCGGACAATAAATGAACCTAACATTGATTCATGTAACTTATACTTATATATTATGTTTACTTACTAATCAAGGATTAGAATTACCTGCGAGCAGGCTAGGTAATCCTTCATTTCAGAAAGTTTGCTGAAATAACTACAATGCATTTTGTTGTGAGGGATTAATTTAAAAAGAATGATGCAAATGTTACCTAATTAGAAAACAAATTCAAAGCAGTGATTTGTTGAAGCCTGGATTATCCTTGAGTAAAATTTCAAAATGTTCAGTTTTTATTTCTGATGATTTCAAATTACCAACGTTCATTCCTCATGTCAACATGAAAAATTTCGAATTTGTCATTGAAACTATGATTTTCTTCTAATATTTGGTTAGGGGATGTTGAATTTGTTTTCTTCTTCAAGCCAATAGAATACATGATCTTATCCACATAGGCTCATCTGCTTGATAGAGGAATAATCGATATTTTTACTTGTTGTGAGTGATTAATTTAAAAAGAATGATGCAAATGTTACCTACTTAGAAAACAAATTCAAAGCAGTGAATGGGCGTGTACACCTTAGTAGAACTTTTGACTCAAACCATGTTTATAATGATGTTTTTATACATAAATAATGATTGACGACATAATTCGATCGAAAAATTAACTGGAATGTTTTATTTTTGGACATAAATAATAGTACCTTCTGAAAACGGACCCTCTTATGACGTAGAAACCTCATCTCGCTATAGTTAAAAGAAAATACTAAACGCCCGACGGAGACTGAGGCAACTGATATATTAATTCTTTCAACTGTGATCTCGCGCTAATTCACTCTGGCAGAAATCATGTATCATTCATCTCTGTCTGGAATAGTCTTGTTTCAGTATTAGGGTTTTGACGTCACATCATCGCCTCGTTTTCAGAGGTCCGAAAAATCGGGGATTTCAATATTTTTTTATAAAACGTAGGGAGCTCACAGCAAGAAACGGTTTGCGGTGGTGAGCTAGTTTGGGTGAGTTCTATCGAATTATGAAATAAAAATTGTTTGTGATATAAGCCCATTGTTGAAGCCTAGATTATCCTTAAGTGAAATTTCAAAATGTTCTCATCTGCTTGATAGAGGGATAATCGATCTTTTTACGAAAGAATGGAATATGCCGGCATCAAAAGATTGATTCATTATAGTAATAAAAACATTTCATTAAGTAGATTTTCAATAGTTTTCATTGAAATTTCTTCAATTCCAGGTTATTCTTTATTTTCATCCTATCACCTTGTGATAACTTGATAGATACATATACCAAGTTATCACATGGCGATCCTGGCAGGATCGCCATGTGATAACTTGGTATATGTATCTATCAAGTTATCGATTCATCAAGAAAAACTCATGAGGACACTTAGATATAGATTTATTCTATTCTAAAAAATACATCCATCTATCAAGAGAGTTGTATCTAGATTATTCTAAAATGTTTTACTAAACCATGCCCCTGAATATTTGACGTGCTTATTATAATAACATTTCCTAAAACTATAACAATAATTACCTTGAGAAGGTGTACTAGATATTTTCGATGTTTTAATTGAATTTGTTTATGTTCCACTTTATCTATCCACTATATATATATATATATATATATATATATATATATATATATACAGTGTGACCCATTTAAGATGGAAGCACCCTTATAAAACTTACATTTTTCAACCGATTGGAATGATTTTTTTTTTGTTAGGTAGATATTCAAAAAGTCTATTAGGACACCAAATATCATGAATACATCTCCATTTCCAGGGCCAACTAATCTGATTTTTCAAGGTCAAAAATCTAAAAAAATTACTAGCGATTTTTTTAGAAAAAATCTGACTACACCACTGGATTTGTGACATTTCCAAATGGGTAACATGTAAATTACGTTGAAATGCGTCAATCAATAAAAAAGTTATAAAGGAATGAAATTTGAAAAATATGCCGTTTAATCAACCCACCAATTCATGTTCAGGAATTTTATGAAAATTCTGTATACTCCACTGGATTCAGGATGTCTTGAAATATTACTGATCACAGTTTCATCGAAATCTGTTCAGTAATAAAAATTGATGGGTTGATTAAACGGCATATTTTTCAAATTTCATTCCTTTATAACTTTTTTATTGATTGACGCATTTCAACGTAATTTACATGTTACCCATTTGAAAATGTCACAAATCCAGTGGTGTAGTCAGATTTTTTCTAAAAAAATCGCTAGTAATTTTTTTAGATTTTTGACCTTGAAAAATCAGATTAGTTGACCCTGGAAATGGAGATTTATTCATGATATTTGGTGTCCTAATAGACTTTTTGAATATCTACCTAACAAAAAAAAATCATTCCAATCGGTTGAAAAATGTAAGTTTTATAAGGGTGCTTCCATCTTAAATGGGTCACACTGTATATACATATAAAGAAATACATTGAGAATTTGCATTCTCTATGTGATGAAAATATCAATTCTTTCTCAGTTTTTTATGGAGTAAGTTGATCATGGGTTGAATTTCCCTGACATATTTTAGTTGATTTGCATTTACTTTGAATTAGCAATAGAAAATTGGCGTACGTCATCTAGCGGGATTTTTGAAGCTGTTTGCATTAGTTTGCATTTGGTTTTTGGTTGTTTTCATTGGTCACACAGAAGAGATCAAGTTGTTGATGTCAGATGGGGCGATGTCTTTTTTTCTATCACAAATACATGGGATATTTTCAGGCCTCGAACAGGCAGAATTAGCTAGACCAGGTTATGGTGTAGAATATGATTATGTAGATCCTAGAGAACTGCAATCCAGTCTAGAGGTTAAAAAAGTACCTGGGCTATTCCTAGCTGGTCAGATAAATGGTACTACTGGTTATGAAGAAGCTGCAGCTCAAGGCGTCTTGGCAGGAATCAATGCAGCTGCAAAAGTAGGAATGCCATGCATATATTTGACCAAATGAGGGCTAACATTTCAAGTCCCACCAGTCGGCGGTATTGGAGCTTGAGGTCATTGTCAATGTCAGAATTCTCTGATTTTTGCTGAATAACCTGGATATTTAAGACCTGTTTTTTTTTTTCGAAAATAAGCAGTCCTTATGTACTTTGTAAACAAATACGAAATTGGCAAGTTCTCGGTCCTATGTAAACAAAAAAACTCATTTTATAGTAAGAATTGGACAGGCTCAAGTTTTTTCACTTCCAATATAAAATTTTACTTTTACATCATGAGAAAAGAAGATATCACCAAGTAGATGACACATGCAACAGAAGAAGTATATGTAATGAAGCTGATTATGATACCATAGTTGTCTTGTTCATGGCATACTGTAAACAGAGAAAGTCATGGAAAGAAATCAAGTTCAACAGGTAGTCGCAATAGAAAATATGCCTACGCCACCTATCGCAGATCTTGAAAGCTGTCAAAGCGGCCTGTTTACTTTGTTTCTATAGGTTGACATTTGTTTTTTGTTTGCGCGCTCATTGGTCATATCATCGAAACAATCCGCTCACAAGTGTTCAAGTTGTGGCCGTCAGGTGGGGCGACGTGTTATTTTCTATCGCAAAGAGCAAACAAAAACGAACAGGCCTGACCTGATGGATCTGGTGGACAATAAAAAATCTTAGCCGTCATTACCGAATTCGGTCAATAGCAGAAATTCATACCAACAGCGCGTAGTGGAATTCGCTATTTGCTCAGAACGCGATGTGAATAATTTTTCTGTTGTTGATTTCGTTTTAGCCCCTTGTCACATAGGACATACATGATGGCTGAATTATATTCCTGTTTCACATCTACAATGCCATGTAGGCTTTTTTGACAAACAAGTCAATGAATAGACTTGGATTTTTTTCGTCAAGATAATCCAGTAGTGGTAATGAAAGGGTTAGTGTGAATTCATGCAGCATAAATTAACAATTATTATGAAATAAAAATTATCAATTTACAATTATCAATTATGAGTTGAACTTGCTATTTTCAATCACTGTGTTTATGCAGACAATTATTTTTGTTATTGTTCTTCATTACCCCAAGAAACATATCAACAATTATAATTTATCGAGTAGCAAGACTTTTGAATTTACATTAATTGAACCAGGTTTTCTTATTGTGTGCAACTAGTACGCAGATGACCTTGTAGAAACTTGGGCCCACTTGTGATAGCAATATCCCAAAAATGTGTATAAAATGTTATGAAAAAATGTTCTTTGGTTTTCTTGAATAGCTTAGAAAGGATATTTGCGCCTGCATATTCTTTATTTTAAATTGTTAATTTGGTTTTCATAAATGGTAGCATTTTAGCTACTCCTTACTTGATAATTGTTAATTGATAATTGTTACTTGATAACTGTAAATTGATGCTGCATAAATCCACACTCAATCAGTACCTTCCTTCGATAGGTCAGTTTGTTGAGGTTCAAACTTCTCATTTTAGAAAATCTCAAATTTTTTCGGGGTAAATGAGGAATTCCACATCACGTTGTGGGTAAAATTTTTGAATACAACATTTGTTATTTTCTACATTCTCCAGGCATTATTACGGGACCCTTTGATAATAAGCCGAACAGAAGGTTACATAGGGGTAATGGTGGATGATTTAACCACTTTGGGAACCATTGAACCCTATAGAATGTTCACTAGCCGTGCCGAATTCAGGTTAACCCTAAGGCCAGACAATGCAGATCAAAGATTGACGGCTAGGGGATATGCTATAGGATGTGTGTCAAAAGAGAGATACAATAAGATGCTGGAAGTAGAAAGACAATTGAAAGATGGAGTTGCTTTACTGAAAAGTGTCAGTAAAGCAGTGAGTTATTGGAGGAATCAGATAGGTGTTATGCCTACAAAGAGTCATCAACAGAAAAGGTATGATTTCAAAATGAAGTAAGTATTCAATTTTCAAACATTTGAACTGTAGGATTATGTCTACAGCAATATGGGACTAGCCTCCATGTAATACAGCTAGTATAATAGTTATGAACAATTAATGAATGAATGAAAATGAATTATCTTGATTTTGGTATTTCTAGTTTGACATTGAAGTTTCTATTATTTCTCAATTGGAACCAAAAAAATTGATTATTATTGATTTTTTTTTATGTCCTGGTTCCCATGAAAAGGGATATCCTGTAATGTAACATTACAAAACATCTTCATTAAGTGTGAATAGAAGTTACAAATTAATACATGCCTTGACTTTAATGTATTACAAACTGATTATAGTGACTTAAAATCTTCTGGCAGAAAACAAATTCTCGATCATGCTTTATTGTACCGCTGTTCGTCAAGATCGTTGCTACTATGGTTTCTCCCTCGATTTCTAGATGAACTGATAAGATTCTACCCATACACCATTTCATGGGCGGTAGATTGTTATCTCCGATGAGAATGAGATTTCTTTTTTATAAATCGTTCTCTTTTCCTAGATATTCAATTGAATAATTTCAGCTTGGGAAATTCGGAGGTCTAGTTCATTCAGAGAATGTTCAGGGATTCCTGCTCTACTCTTCGGACGTAGTTGATTATTAGACTTTATCGATTATGAACAACCTGATCATGCAAACAGAAAACAGGAGCTTTACAACTCACATTCTCCTCCCTTACTAAGATTCTTGGCAACTTACGATTATACTGCTTGTAGGACCATGTATCATTTGGCCTATAGCAATATTGGGGGGACTTGATACAGCTAGAGTATATTATTCATGAGAAGGAATTATATTGATTTTGGTATTTTTAGTCTGATATAAAAGTTTATATTAATTTCTCAGTACCCATTTTATATTGATAGTTCCATTTATGAATATTTGATGCAGTCATTCGTTATTTAAGAACATCACAAGTATTTATTTTTGAATAACTGAAATTATACCTTTCACCAACTTACATTAATTACTACATAGTAGTGTAGTATCATTATTATTATTTATATATGTTGTGTGATTCAGTACCATCACCCCGTATTATGTTCAGAATATCGACGGGTGCTGGTTTTATGACTAAGATATATTGAATGCATGATTAAGGAGTTACGTAAGCTAGATAAGAGAGGTGACAGGGAATGGGCCGGATGACCAGTATAGTTTTAGAATAAAGAGCTGTGAGGGTGTTGTCCAAGAATACAAAGTTGATATTTGAAAACGTGGATATTATTCAAGCAGCTTCCCAGTGCCCCACTTAACACACCGATAACGAGAATTCACCGTAGGGAGAACTTCTAACCTCACTAGTCACCAGGTAGTTTTCCGATTATTTTATTTTCTATGACGGGAAAAAAATTACATTTCATTTTTGTTGAAAGGTTACAAAATTCACATTTATATAGTTATTTATTATACAAGGGAAAAAAGTAGTAGATTTTAGGTCCAGGTTGTGTTGTCTCCCGACGCGTAGCGGAGGGAGACAACAAACCGTGAGCTAAAATCTAATATTTTTCCCGTGTATAATACACTATTTTTCTCTGTGACAGAAGGAAGGACGAATCAATATTGAGAAGATATTACATTATTTCGAAATCTGAAAATTATCGACGTGAAATTTCAAGTTTTTAACAGTAGGGACACCTGCGTTTTATAGGCATCTTTATCATTCTTTTGAAGTAATCAAATATCTGATGTCACTTCTGTCAGTTCAATTCTGTGATTTGATTTTAAAAAATTGCGAATTCAGTAGTTGTTTAGTAATATACGAAACCGCGAAGTCGAATGGAAGATAAAAGGACTTGCAGTTCTTTCTCGGAGACGGTATTATGGTATTATTGACTCATTTTTCGGAACTATAGCACAACAAAGGCCATTAACAGAGTATATATATGTGATATATATCCGGGAAAGAAGTACTCACTTTTTTCCCACGGGAAAAAAGTAATTTATGAAAAGTGACATTTTATTACCTGCCAACAGAGATGAAATGCCAAACTTTTTTCCCGTCACAGAAAAAAATTACTTTTTTCTGATATACAGGTGCACTGTTGATTACTTTTGTTTTGTCCAAGAAAGAATCGTCCTTCTAATCTTCCATTCCACTTCGCGGTTACGTAGATTACTAAACGGCCACGAAAATCGCAATTTTTTGAAATTAAAACAGAATCAAATTGACAGATATTCTAATACCTCAAAAGGTTTTCATAGCAACAATAAAGATGCCTACAAAATGATACCTGCAAGAGAGGTAGTACGTATTACGTATGATTGACAAATTATATACAAGAGATTTTTAACATACGGAGTTGAGTTAAGAACTGACTGCAGAACGGCTCTCGCTGGGTACACGACGATCTTGCTGATTTCATGGAAACGGTGGATTCAGGGAATCCAAACTGTGGGATCAGCAATGTCAGCATCTTGTGGAAACCTATGTTGAGTGGCGACATAATTCCTGTTAAAAACTTTACTTACGGCCACTATAGAAAGTAGGCAAGAACACACGAGATACCTCAGTAAAAGTAGCTCTTTACGTCATGATCGCGTAATCGCCGTCAACAGCGGATGACATGACTGTCAAGAATTATAATTCAGACTGTTTGTCCAAATTTTTTTGATGTACTTCATGGCAGTAGGTAAAGTATAGTACGTAATGCGTGTTGTAAGGCAATTACGCACTCATGGAATTACGCACACGTGCATAATTGCACATATAACGTAATATACTATTAAATTTTACATTTATAATTTTATGATTTTATTATAATGTAATATCTTCTCAATATCAAATCGTCGTTTTTCCTGTCACATGAAGAAATAGTGTATTATACACGGGAACATTTATTAGATTTTATCTTACGTTTTTTTGCCTCCCTTCGCTACGCGTTGGAGACATCACAACCTGGAGCTAAAATCTACAACTTTTTTCCCTTGTATAATAAATACCTATTTATATAATAATTTCTGCACCTAAAAAAATCAGTACGAATAACCTAGTTTAGGATTTTGTAAAATGAGATTCATCTGGTGAAATTCCCAAAGTTAACAGTGAAATGGTAACAGTTTTTTTTAGAAATATCGACTTCCTGATGGCCTGTTCATCGAAATAACTCATATTCAATTTATATTCATTTATTAATTTTAACTAGATAAGAATTCAAGCATTTATTTCACTCATATGAGTATCTAGAATCTCATTTGAATTATATTTAATTTAGTCCATTTCTTAAGGGAATTATAGCTGTTAAGTTAAAATTAAATGTAAATTGAACATAAATAATTTCTATGACTGCTGAAATGAGGAATCTAAAACAGACTGGATTGGGGGCACCGACATAAATTACTAATTTGACTGCTAATGGCATGAGATCAGAGCTCATTTACTTACGAGATAGAACTTCGATGGAGCGTGTGCATTCAGGACCTGTCATATATCTTAATTACTCTTATTTATGTTTCCGAACACCAAGAGACATGACTCGCAGTCAATCTGTCATGAATTACAGTTTGGCGAGCAATTTGGATGAGATTTTCGATTTGTTGTTATATGACATATAGCGGTCTAGATAGTAGTTATTAGTAAATCATATTATGTTGTCAACTACACAGCATCTGTACACGTCATTCCGTTTTTGTGAAGTAAATTACAGATTCACCCAACCACTGCTTTCTTCTTTTGATGAGAGCCGTCGCGTTGAATGAATCACAAATATTCTCACAAAACTTATAATTAATAAATAAATGGTAGTTTAAAAAACTGAAGAAACACGATTTTATAGATAGCCAAAGAGTGGAAAATAGAATAATAAAAGTAAGTTGATAAATACACAACATAGAAAATAATAGCACCTCAGTAATCAGTAAGTATATTCTATGTTGTGTATTTATCAACACACTTTTATTATTTTATTTTCTACTTTTACTACTAAGCGTGTTTCCTTAGGTTTTTAAACTACTGATGGTGTGTGGGTGGTGGGGCGGTATTTATAGTGGATGTGGTGGTCAGTGAAGCGGAACTAGGATTGTGGTTTGTTATGTTGAACACCAAAAGGAGAGCATGAAAAATGAAAATCCTCTGAAATTGAGAATTGACAGTCTCTCTTAAATCGGATAAAATAATATGATGTATTATTATTATTATTCAGAATTCCTTTCCACGTCCTGTATGATTGATATCAATTCTTCATACATCCAAAAACAATTACCAAATATATTTATAAACGGTGAACAATAGTTATACCGGGTGTAACAGGATCATGGTACACCAAACCATTATCTAATGAACTTAAATAAATCAAGAAATTTTACATTTTTGACAGGATTCAATTTTTTTCATCATTACACCTGACGATATGAGTACAGTGTGTCCAGTTTTCGATGCTTTTGCATGATATCTCAGTTATCTTTGGAGATAGAACCTTGCGGTTTTCGCGGTCCTGTGCCACTTTTTTGTAAAACTCAAGATGGCCTAATCAGATTTTGCAGGACTGTTTCCGTTTATGAGATACAGGGCGATTTTGAAAATTTATACTTTTTGGACCCCCTCCATATCTACGAAATTTATCAGCGAAAATGTCAAATTAAAATCTTAACCCATAGAGAATTTTATGCAGAATCCAGTGGCGCACAATTTTTTTTTTCGGGGTGTGGTTTTGAAGATACGACTCAAACTTATGATTTTTTAAATTGAACACCCTGTATTTTATAAGCTCATTAAATTCCTTATATTTTTCCCTTCGAAATGATATATGATGTATGAATATAACATTTTCAAAAATGTTCAAAAATCACTAAAACATTGAATTTTAATAGTGGGCTATTGGTTTTTCGAGGGATTTTAATATAAAGAAATTTACAATTGAAGGAATATTTCCTTTGATTGTTCCATGAAGGGGGAAATAACAATTCCAACACTAATTAACTTGCAATACACAAGACTTAGATACCTGATATCCACAAATATATAGTAATAAAAAGTTTATAATGTAGAATAAGCACCTGATTGAATATTTACTAAAACAATTGAATTTTGAAATTATTCAGTGATTTATTCATTGAATTGTTCAAATTGATGTCCATTTTCCATCACAAACTTTCTCAATACATATTATAATCATTGAAAGATGTCTTTGTAATTCCTGGAAAACTGCCTCTGTTGTTGCACAAAGTTCTTCAAGTATGTTGGGCCACTCACTGTATTAAGAAGTATTGAGAAAGTTTGTCAAATGTATGTTAGGGAAAATGGATATCAATTTGAACATGTCCATGAATAAGTTACTGAATAATTCCGGAATTCAATTATTTTAGTAAATATTTAATCAGGTGCTTATTCTACATTATGAACTTTTTATTACTATTTATTTGTTGCTATCAGGTACCCAAGTTTAGTGTTTCGTTAATTAATAAGTGTTGATATTGATTTTGACCTCTCCATGGAAAAATTTAAAGAAATATTTCTTCAATTAGAACGTTTTTTATAAGAAAAATCCATAACCAACTATCAAAATTCAATATTTTAGTGATTTTGAGCAATTTTGAAAATTTTATAATCATTCGTTATATATCATTTTGAAGACTAAAAAATGAGGAATTTAATGAGCATATGAAATACAGGGTGTTCCATTTAAAAAATCATAAGTTTGAGTCGTATTTCCAAAACCATACCCCGAAAAAAAAATTTAAGTGCGCCACTGGATTATGCGTGAAATTCTCTATGCGATAAGATTTTGATTTGACATCCATTTCGTGGATATAGAGGGGGTCCAAAAAGTATAAATTTTCAAAATCGCCCTGTATCTCATAAACGGAAACAGTCTTGCAAAATCTGATTAGGCCATCTTGAGTTTCACAAAAAAGTGGCACAGGACCGCGAAAACCGCAAGGTTCTATCTCCAAAGGTAACTGAGATATCAGGCAAAAGCATCGAAAACTGGACACACTGTACATCAGACACGTTCAGAATAGTCATGGCACACTCAGATGGGAAATCAAAAATGAAATTAAAATCAATATTGAAGTTTGACTTATATGGTATCAGGTATCATTGGATTCAGAAAATAATGCAGAATCCTAAAACAATGATATACAGGGTGTTCCATTTGAAAATTAAAAGAAAATAAAACATATCTATGTCAAAAAGTGACGTTTATCAAGTTGATGGATCATTCCAAATTTCAATCACTTATCTTTAAAACTAAAGGAGAAAACGGGGGTGTACCATGAAAAAACTGATTCAAGTTTCAGGGTGCATTTTAGTACTGAATTTGAAAATCATTATTCAGTATAATACATGCAGAGCCTTAATCAATGAACACCTTTTTCTATTGTAGTGCTTTTGAGATGATTGATATCACAAATGAAAAAATTACTATAAGCATGTTGGCGATAGCTGCACCAGAACTACTTTCGCTGACTTACGATTCTTATTTGGAAAATCGGCTTCATATTGAAGCTCTATATGAATCTGCAGCTGCTGATCAATTAGAAGAAGTTGAGGAAGTTAGACGTGAAGAAGCACTGTTGATTCCTGGGAATTTAGATTACAATTCTGAGTATCTCAATTTGAGTGTTGAGGAGAGAGAAAAATTGTTGGCAGCTCAACCACAAACGGTAAGACATTTTAAAAATAGAGAAAGTGCATCAATCGTGCATTTACCAATTGTTATTCATAGATAGCAGCAGCAAGTAGAATTCCTGGGGTGACTCCATCATCTGTGCTCAGACTTTTGAGATTTGTGAAGCAAAAAAGTGAGAGTGTCTTGGCAGTTGGGTGATGATTCTCCAGATCAAAGTATAGGTGTTTTAGCAGATTGGCTAGACTGTGAATATTTGAGATGTGTTCTCAGTAATGTATACCAAAAATCTCCAAAAACTTGGAGTTGAAAATGTTTTGAAATTATTAGATTAACAAAATTGAATATTTCTCGTTTGGATGTTTTTATTTATATGTATTTATTTTCCGAATTCAACTGGTTACTACTGTCAGTAAATTCATCTTCTTAATTGTTCTAAAATTGTTGGTGTCATGGTGCCATTACCAACCTTAGCTTCACCCAATATTTTCCTATATTACCTATGCATGATTTTTGGCATGTTCGCTATTTTACATCTCAGTCTAGAATTTTTAACATTTTATCGAAGTCAAACGAGAGTACCCTTATTGTATTGAAAATATCTTGAAATTTCCAAATTATTGTGGTGAAATTGCAAAAATGATTGTGAAAAAAACTTAAGGAAGCAAAGTACAAAGATTTACTTTCATTTTGTCTTGTTTTTTCTTCTTGTATTACCAATTTTATTTATCGCTCGAATTCCATGTATACAGTATGGTCATTTAAGTGTGCAACATATGGGAATCTTTTTAATGAATTGCACAACCAAAATACAGATAGTGCCAAAAGTTGGTGCATGTTCGGTGATCATTTTAGGTGCACTCAAAATAGTTGCAAGTCAAACAGCATACAGGATAGGTCAGGAAATATAGAAATTGCTCAACAGTAAAGTACCCTTATTTCAGGAAATTCAGCAAAATGTTATTGAGAAAAGTTGTTAACAATTGAAAGTTATGCCTAAATACCAAAACATGGCCTCCTAAGACATTCTTTAGTTTTTCAATTTTTTTTGTTGGTAATTATTTCCCAATTTGTCATTTTTTTTCATATTCACTCTAAACACTTTCATAAGTTAATTATAACCAAAACAGTTGATCATACCTCTGTTCAAATTCAAGCATATTTTTGCAATTATCTTGGATTTCAATTTTTTTAGGGAATCACAAACATCATTAATGATGATATGCATATTCAAAAACTTCCATGCAATGTGAACATTTTGTATTATTTGAAATGTTTATGACAAATCTGTACAAATTAATCGACAAACATGATATCTTTCAAAATAATCACGGATACCCAAGGAACAAAACAAATGAGGGTTGACAGTAAACTTTAAGGCAGTTTGGTGACATTTACTTCTTATCTAAGATGTTTTACCTTGTTAAAATATGGTTTGCGAAATTTTAAAATCATGCTGAATATCGTTGCAACAAACATAAAGTTTGTGATTCCCTAAAAAGATGAAATCCAAGTTAATTCCACAAATATGCTTGAATTTGAACAACAGTATGCTCAACTGATTTTGTTATGATTAAGTTATTAACGAAAAAAAATTGAAAAACCAAAATATGTCTTGGGAGGCCAATTTTTGGTATTTAGCATAACTTTTAACTGTAAACAACTTTTCTACATATCATTTTGCTGAACTTTCTGAAATGAGGGTACTTTACTCTTGAGCAATATTTATATTTTTTTACTTACCCTGTATGCTGTTTGACTTGCAATCATTCGAAGTGCACCTAAAATGATTACCGAGCATGCACCATCTTTCGGCACTACCTGTATTTTGGTTGTGCAATTCATTAAAAAGATTCCCATATGTTGCACACTTGAATGACCACACTGTTTACAAAAATATGGGTGAAAGTCCCTTTCATTGACTCATTGAGTGTGATGTAAGGATTAATGACCTGATTATTGCACTGCTGTGTATATGAATGAAAAAATGTATTGATCAAACGAAACACCCTCTAATTTGAATAAATGGTTGCTTAGAAATGAATATGCAAATAACTGGAGTAACTCTAGTGATGGTTGCTAGGAAATCAATAAAACAAATGTTTTGTTTTGAATTTTATTTTCAATAAACTGTTTTTATAATAATTTCAAAAAATGTCTTCTCCTTCTCCAGTGCCAAATCTTCATGAGAAGAGAGGAGAAGACAAAGATTCTCTTTTTTCTTCAGAAAAATCAGAAGGTGAGTCCATTCATTCAGGTATAGGTATTAAACTGTAACAAGAACACTTCATTAGATGTAGGTAGTTTGAATAAAAAAATGTATACTCACATGTTACAACAAAAACAGGAAAAATTGTTGGAAACGATTCCCATGTCTAAAATTCTTGTATAAATAAAACTTTCTCAAGCGTACTATTATTAGAGAAACATTGTACAGATCCGTATATAAACAAACATGATAAATGAAATATCAAACTTGAATTGATGAACTGAAATATGCAGTAGTGTGTGAGAACTCAACAGTTCTTCAAAAATAAAATTCAAAACTGTTTTATTGATTGAGTTGACATTGTTTATCAATGTTGCTATATTCGTTTTTGTTTTCATGTTATACCAAGTGCTCGAACCGGTCGAGATTATCTATTTTCGACTTCACATATTTCATAACAATTTCATATATTTAGTTCAATTATAGTAGAGGGTCCGAAGGAAGGTAGACCTTCTCCCATCTGGTTAATAATTATTCTATAAGTAATTGAACATGTTGAAAATTATTAAAAAAATAGGTTGCCTGAAAAAATCCTGACCAGGATATAATTAATTGAAAATACAAATATAAGTTTTTTTTTTAAATTTCACAGCCTATAGAATATGCAAACGTAACGCTCTAACTATTGGGTTGCCAGGTATAATAAACAGCTATTTTGATCCTAGTTATTTCCACCTACTTGTTTAATCTATCAATTGAACATAAAAATAAGCGCTGTTTTATTGAGAGTTTCCCGCAAAAAGTTTGTCCTGAATGACGGTTGACGCATCTAGTGCGACTGTTAACGTGCGCCAAAGAGGACGAGACAAATATCTACCGAAATCTATAATGAAAATTGTTCTTCAGATGAATCAGACATAGAATAATGATTATGAATCGAAAGTTATTTTTTATTAATATATTATAATGTAATATTTATATTTATGGTGTAGTATAATGAAATTTTTGTACTGAACAGAATGTCCTTAGTGTTGGTTTTCAATTTTTTTATTTGGAATTTTCGACGGTTCATTTTGTTCATTTTTATTCACTTTCTTGAATAAAGATGAAAATTCCAAGTATACATCGCCTCATGATTTTTACTCATGAAAATGCTATATTATTGACTTTGGATTATCTACTTTCTACATAACATATTTCATAACAATGTTTCGAATATATAGTAGCGTTGAATAACTCTTATTTTTTTGAATATTAGACATCTGACCTCAATTAGTTCTATAATCGATAAATCTGATTCAAAACTGTGAGTATTCTACAGGGTGTCTGTATAAGGTCTTTACAAAGACATACCACATATTCCTTAGACCAAAATAAGTCGATTTAAGTAAAATTACCTTAATACAAAGTTGCATCGTTTGGGCTCCAGAGGGCCTTGAAGTTACAATTTTTAAATCGTTTTTCCCATATAAATTTAAAACGGCATATGCGATTTTGCTGAAATTTGGTATATTGATAGAATTTTAGGTGGCAAAAGAAATGGTGTTAAAATTTTGTCCGATAATAATACATAGGCGTAGAACTTGATTTTTCAAATTATTGCACCTTCAAAAATTCTACGCCAATGGAAGAAAAGGAGTTTGAGTATAAAATTTACATTGCGCAACTCATTTACTTTAAAAAAGGTACTCTTGATAAGACTCGATTGCTCTCATGGTTTTGACGAAATTTGCATTTTAGTAATTTTAGAACATAAACAATAATTATTAAAATACAAACTTTGTCAGAACCATGAGAGTAAATCGAGTGTTATCAAGGGTACTTTTTCGTAGTAAATGAGTACCCAATTCAAATTTCATACTCAAACCCCTTTTCTGCCATTGGCGTAGAACTTGATTTTTTAAATAATTGCACCTTTAAAAATTCTTCGCCAATGGCAGAAAAGTGGTTTGAGTATGAAATTTGGATTGGGTACTCATTTACTACAAAAAAGTTCCCTTGATAACACTTGATTTACTCTCATGGTTCTGACAAATTTTGTATTTTAATAATTATTGTTTATGTTCTAAAATTACTAAAATGCAAATTTCGTCAAAACCATGAGAGCAATCGAGTGTTATCAAGAGTACCTTTTTTTTAAGTAAATGAGTTGCTCAATTTAAATTTTATACTCAAACTCCTTTTCTTCCATTGGCGTAGAATTTTTAAAGGTGCAATTATTTAAAAAATCAAGTTCTCGCCTATGTATTATTATCGGACAAAATGTTGACACCATTTTTTTTGCCACATAAAACTATCAATATACCAAATTTCAGCAAAATCACATATGCCGTTTTAAATTTATATGGAAAAAACGATTTAAAAATTGTAACTTCAAGGCCCTCTGGAGCCCAAACGATGCAACTTTGTACTGAGGTAATTTTACTTAAATCGACTTATTTTGGTCTAAGGAATATGTGGTATGTTTTTGTAAAGACCTTCTACAGACACCCTGTAGATTAATTTAAGCAATTCTTTAATACTGTTATGATATTTTGGGCATATGTCAGTATATTTTTTGGAGGTTAATCGAGGAGGTGGTTCATTCATTATTCCAAAATTTTTTGGGATTTTCTCTTTATAAAAACATGAATATTATTTCAATATACGTGTAGTAAGGACAAATCAGATGATTTGCCCCAAAATGTCACTGCGTTTAAAGAATTTTCCTATCAGAGAGCCTAAAAGAAAAATCCACTAGCTTGTCAGTGACAAAAAGGTTTGGAGAAGAAAAATAAAGGTATATAAAAAAAATAACAAATTTTCACTTATTTTTGGAATAATGAATATTTTTTGTAGTTTTGCTTGAAAGTTTCTCAAAAGTACAATACGATATTATGAAAACACCATATACCAGTTTCATTTTGAGAAACTAATGCTTCATTTAAAACTTGTGTATTGATAATTACCATATTGCAATTTGTTGTTTGATTGGAAATTGATTCAACTCATTATTGATTTCATTTTGTACAATGAAAACGTGAACAGATAATCAAACTGTGATGATTTTTTTCAGAGAAAGTTGTCGTTTTTGAAACCCCTGAACAAATAACCGAAGTACAAGTTGTAGAATACACTGACGAAGAATTAGACACTTTCTTATCATATATCAAAGATATGACTACTCTATACAATTTGAAGACTGATGATTGGACAGAACAGGGTGAAACAATGATAAGACAATGGTTTATGGACCCTGCATTGCCAATACTGTGTATATACTATGATTGTGATGAACTAGTTTGTGACATTGATGTTCCGAGCACTCCCATACAAGTTGATTTGATGTATTTTTTGAGAGAACCAAATATTGAATTTGAAGTTGGGAAATTTCACGATCAAATTATATTTGGGACCATTGATGACAACATTGAAGGATCCATTTTGCAGATTATTAGGGATATATATGCACCACTGCTGCTATCATTGGAAAATTGGCCTGACAGTATCCTTGAAAATGATTTCATATAAAAATTCTATTACTTCTATTTTTAGAACTTTTGAGTATATTATGATTTATTGTTTATTTTCATGATTCGATTCAATGAACTTTCGTTGAAAATCACTTCTGGTTAAACCGGGACTTTTTTTCAAACACCTTATGCATGGTGTGCGGAAAGGTCATGTCGTAAATGATGTGGCTGATAGAGTGACCCAAAATAATGTTAGTACTCGCGCTCCAATACGGAGTTATTGACCCTGAAAGTTAGAATGAAAAAATGAATTTCATGTATGCATTTCAAACGGTTGTCATAGTATCAATGATATTCAGGCAGGTGAACAAACTCATATTAATGCTCCTCTCCATATACAGTGTGACCCACTTCTAATGGAATCACCCCTGTATCTCATGTAATCGTTGGGTGAGGATCCTGAAATTTGCTGGAGCGAGAGATATACCAAAAATGCACTCTATAACCAAGTGGGGTCATCTTCAGTGATATACACTGCTCGCCAACAGCCATGAAACTACCCCAATTTCCGGAAAATGATATTAGGAGTCAAAATAGGTCGAAAATCACTTAAGATTTGGAATCAGGACGCCCAATTTACTAACTATTCAAATTTTTCCTGGAAAATTTTCAGTTCGGAAAAATGAAATTTTGTCGCATTTTTTATGGAAGCAGCCCCGTATCTCACGTAATTGACTTTATCTTTGGACTTTCTCTTCCTCCGGAAAATTTCAGAACCCTACCTCAATAATTACGTGAGATACAGGGGTGCTTCCATAAAAAATGCGACAAAATTTTATTTTTCCAAACTGAAAATTTTCTAGTAAAAATTTGAATAGTTAGTAAATTGGGCGTCCTGATTCCAAATCTGAAGTGATATTCGACCTATTTTGACTCCTAATATCATTTTCCGGAAATTGGGGTAGTTTCATGGCTGTTGGCGAGCAGTGTATATCACTGAAGATGACCCCACTTGGTCATAGGGTGCATTTTTGGTATATCTCTCGCTCCAGGAAATTTCAGGATCCTTACCCAACGATTACGTAAGATTCAGGGGTGGTTCCATTAGAAGTGGGTCACACTGTATATGGAGAGGAGCATTAATATGAGTTTGTTCACCTGCCTGAATATCATTGATACTATGACAACCGTTTGAAATGCATACATGAAATTCATTTTTTCATTCTAACTTTCAAGGTCAGGTTAGGTTAGGATGATCAATAGACTAAACATTTGAGATAGCCCCAAAGAAATAAATCAAGTAGATTAAGATCAGGTGACCAAGGTTGCCATGGAAAAAGTGATGTGATACAGCTTTGTCGAAATGAGGAGGCGCACCATCGTGCATCTGACACCTCGAATATTCAAAATAATCTCTTCTAACAACGGATCTGGATGTTCTTGCAAAAAAGTTCCATTAATGATTTAATATCCATAATTGAGTAATTGCCAATTATTCCTATCCATACATTGATAATAAATAGAGTTTTTTCTGTGACGGGAAAAAAGTTTGGCATTTCATCTCTGTTGGCAGGTTATAAAATGTCACTTTTCATAAATTACTTTTTTCCCGTGGGAAAAAAGTGAGTACCTTTTTCCCGGATATATATCACATATATATACTCTGTTAATGGCGTTTGTTGTACTATAGTTCCGAAAAATGAGTCAATAATACCGTCTCCGAGAAAGAACTGCAAGTCCTTTTATCTTTCGACTTCACGGTTTCCTATATTACTAAACAACTACTGAATTCGCAATTTTTTAAAATCATATCACAGAATTGAACTGACAGAAGTGACATCAGATATTTGATTACTTCAAAAGAATGATAAAGATGTCTATAAAACGCAGGTGTCCCTACTGTTAAAAACTTGAAATTTTACGTCGATAATTTTCACATTTCGAAATGATGTAATACCTTCTCAATATTGATTCGTCCTTCCTTCTGTCACAGAAAAAAAAAGTGTATTATACACGGGAAAAATATTAGATTTTAGCTCACGGTTTTTTGTCTCCCTCCGCTACGCGTCGGGAGACAACACAACCTGGAGCTAAAATCTACTACTTTTTTCCCTTGTATAATAAATAACTATTTATCACCTTTGAAACGGTTGGGAAGTATGTTTTTGAATGCGATTTTCTCTAGATCGGTACAAGATATCGATTGAAATGAAGTATACCATTTTTGTAGAATTAAAATGTCAAATTGGTCACCACTGTCGAAAATGTTTTCATTAAACGAAAAAAATTCGTCCCATCCCGTATAAAACGTAATCACTGAAAAGCCGTTTACTTATGGAAAGGAGTATTAGTATGAGTTTATTTACCTGCCCGAATATCATCGATACCATGGCAACCGTTTGAAAGTTATACATGAAATTAATTTTTTTTATTCTAATTTGCAAGGTCAATAACCCCGTAACGAAGCGCGATAGACATATTTTGTATATGAAGTGCTAACATTATTTTGTCTCACTCTATCAGCCCTATCATTTACGGCATGACCTTTCCGGACACCCTGTATATTTTTCTGTTTTTGAGTCCCACTCAAAATGATATTTCCAACGATATAACACAGCTAGCTGTGTATTGTAAATTCAAGATGATGAGGAACCTCGATTTTTACTGTGATACTTGATTAATAACTCATTAAGTATCATAGTAGTCGAATTTGAAATATTGAAATTAGAAATCAACAAATCTCATACACCTGCAAATGAATAAATAGTAGGTATATTGATAAACGAGCACGGAATGATAGTCATTTCCCACGAAAACGAAGATTCAAATCATACGAATGAGAAATTAACATTCCGTGCGAGTTATACACACTGTACTTTTTCTACGGCTGTAACAGATAATTGCAAAAATTTTTCGGCTTGTAGCCATCTGATTTTCTCTTAAGTAACGCTCAATTAGACAGAGCTGTCATTGATTGAAATTTTACATTTCATGGGAGATGACATTTATTGTGTGATAATAATGCAATAAAGTCATTGTGTTATCAGATGAGGGAATGAAATTTTAGATATACAATTTACATCATTGATTTATCGGAAACAGTAAAACAAGAGCAATTTTGTGTTTTAGCTGTAGAAAATAGTATATTGTTTAACGAGCACGGAATGATAGTGATTTCCTACGAGAATGCGAATGCTGCAATCATTCGAGTAGGAAATTAGCATTCCGTGCAAGTTATACACTAACTTTTCTACGACTATAATAGATAACAGCGACATTTTCGATTTCTTCGTCTTGTAGCCATCTGATTTCCTGTCAAGTAATGCTCATCTATTAGACAGAGCTGTCATTGCTTGAAATTTGACATTCCATGAATGATAAGCTTTTTTTTGGAATAATAACACAAGGAGTCATTGTGATATCAGATACGGAAATAAAATTGATGACATACAAAGTACCTCATTGATGTATCGAACACAGTAAAACAAGAGCAATCTTGTGTTATAGCCGTAGAAAAATGTATTTTATGCACTAGCGGGCCGTAAAGTGCACTTTACCGCCCGGTTTTGCGGGCGTTAAGTCGCACTTTACCGCCCGCGGGTTCATTATGGCCCACGGGCCGTAAAGTGCACTTAACCGCCCGCTGTTCTCAGTTACCTTATATCCACATATCAATTCATGAAAAACCTATGATCATTTTCCTAGATTCTAATATATTCAGCGGTATATCATGAACTTCTTCTTCATCCGATTCCATATCTATCACTATTATTATTATCACTAATTTTTACTTTTCAGTCAGAGAATGACAATTCAGCTCGTTTGTTGGATGTATTGATATAGACAACAACCATCAGCTTGATTGACAACGTCAAAATTAGTCAGCTATATATACTGGGTATGCATATTTTGAAATTCTGAAGAATGAATCTCTTCTAGAGATCAAAGAGTTTTACTATCACGACAATTGCAATATTCGTACGATAATTTTCATATGTAAATCATCCATGAACATTACGCTTCTCTTGATTACTGAATTTATACGTAACAAATTAAATTCGGGGGAATATTAGTTTATCGAAATCTATAGTCATGACTTTTGAGTCAGAAAATAAACCACTAGTGCATAAAATTTTGTATGTATCACGTGCGTGAAATGCGTTTATGGCCTTCAGCGTGTAATGGCCCTCGGCTAGCGCCATCGGGCCATTATTCACGCCACAGGCCATAAACGCCTACTTTACGCCCTTGATACATAAATAACTATTATCAATATACATACAGGGTGATTCACATAAGAACCGACATAGAGCAGGGGCATGTAGGGGGTCCCAAAATATGGCAATTTAGCGCAAATTACCTCTATACCAAGTTGCTTCCCTAAGGAGTTATAGGCTTTGAAAGTGAAGTTATAAATTTTGAAAAAAAAATCAATATCTCCGTTATTCTTGAACTTGAAGCAACAAAATTTGGTACACTTTGTGGATGTATTTAGGGCGTTTCTTGACAGTAACTAGAGCTTATTTGAAATCTGTAAAGGGGGTATACCGGGTGGCGCACCATTAATATTCAACAGAATTTTGTTAACCCTTGATGGATTTTGAAAATCTTTGCTTTGTTTTGTGGGCAATTCAATTCTAAAACTTTTCTTATTCAAGTAATTTCTCGAAAAACCTCATCATTTTCATCAAAAACTCGAATAACTGAAAACGCGTGCTCTAGGTTTGTTATTTAAAATCATCGAAAATTCAAAAGTTGGCTATGAAAATAAACGTCTAACTTGACAATGAAGCAAGTAAGTTGTTCAATTAAGTAATTTATCGATAAACAATTGTTTGTTCTGGTTGTTGTTTAAGTTTTTTGTGTTTATTTTGGTTAGTTGTTAATCCCAGTTTTTCACATTTCAGTATCTGTCCTTACTACGTATTTTGTTACGTATCTAAATAATAATTTGCCAGCCAATTTCTACTGATCACAATTAATGACCTACTTTCTTGTTGTACGTTTATTTTCATAGCCAACTTTTGAATTTTCGATGATTTTAAATAACACACCTAGAGCGCGTGTTTTCAGTTATTCGAGTTTTTGATGAAAATGATGAGGTTTTTCGAAAAATTACTAGAGTAAGAAAAGTTTTAGAATTGAATTGCCCACACAACAAAGCAAAGATTTTTGAAATCCATCAAGGGTTAACAAAATTCTGTTGAATATTAATGGTGCGCCACCCGGTATACCCCCTTTACAAATTTCAATTAAGCTCTAGTTACTGTCAAGTAACGCCCTAAATACATCCACAAAGTGTACCAAATTTGGTTGCTTTAAGTTCAAGAATAACGGAGATATTGATTTTTTTCAAAATTTATAACTTCACTTTCAAAGCCTATAACTCCTTAACGAAGCAACATCGGATAGAGGTAGGTTGCGTTAAATTGCCATATTTTGGAACCCCCTACATGCCCCTGCTCTATGTCGGTTCTTATGTGAATCACCCTGTATATGCAGGAAATTTGAATCCGGTGGCTTTTACCGTTTAGAAGTTATGCTGGAAAATTATTTCGATTTCATCAACTTTGGAATGATATAAGTGTCTCCCTTAATATACATTTTGGGCCATTAGTATATTCATCAAACTATATTCATTTTTTAATGTACTATCACCTGCAGAAATCTCAATACACATTTTTGACTCACCCTATATAAATCCAGACATCCTTATTCATACACGCATCAATCAAACTAGCCACTTGTTCATCAGTAGAAGTGTTCGTTTTTTTTTCAGTAAAGTGATATATATTTCCTCAACAATAATTTAGGCGTAAAAAACGAATTTAGCCACAACCTACAGATGTTTCTTGCAAGAGTTACAGACCTCCACTACAAACTTTTTGGTTTGACAGTATTGTATGTACCCCAAGAAATCCTCAAGATTTCAGTACAAGACGCCGCTAAAGACAAAGAGCTGATAAAAAGATTAGAAGCCATTGTGGTTTACTGGACCAAGCAAGTGAGGGTTGGTTTACAAGATCAAGATCAAAATACCCCCGAGGACCTCTTGTGTCCGAAAGATGAGTTCGAGTTTTGGAAATATCGATGTAAGTAGTTTACTGTAGGGCCCCTTCATGTAAATTGACGTATTTGTCATCTTAACAGGGTACGGACAGATCCTCGTCTCCTCTCACTCTAAAGTGTTTGTGAAACAGTTATATAGTTCCATCTTTATTCATGTCTGAGGATGAACACTAGATTTCTGACATTAGTTGTTTTTTAGGTTATACAACTCTACATATTATTTCCAAATGATGATGTTAATTTTCGAATTTTTGATTTTTCAACTCTAGCATAATCTTTGTGAGGCAGTGGTAAATTTTTCTGAAAGTTTAATACATTTTACCAAATGAGTAGTGTACCTAGGCCGGTATCAGCTCAAGATGGCCGCCGCCGGAAGTGACGTCACAACCGTTCCTGTGGTAGAAGGTGTTGGCTGCACGGGTGACAAGATGGCCGCCGGAAGTGACAGATGACAAGTGACAGATGACAAGTGACAGATGACACGTGACAGATGACAAGTGGCAGATGACAAGTGACAGATGACAAGTGACAGATGACATGGAACACAAGGAGTGACAGGTGGCATGGAACACAAAGAGTGACATATGGCATGGAACACAAAGAGTGACAGATGGCATGGAACACAAAGAGTGACAGATGGCATGGAACACAAAGAGTGACAGATGGCATGGAACACAAAGAGTGACAGACGACAAGTGACAGATGACAAGCGATAGGTGACAGATGACAAGTGACAGAGGACATCGAACACAAGGAATGACAGATGACACGTGGAAGTACTCTGAACTTAGCCCCCTAGACTCTGGACTCTAGTGCTCATGGGCATGGACATTCTACTTCTTCTTTTTGAAAGGTGCTGGATGACGTCACAATCTAGTGACTGTGCTCACCAGATTTAGGTTGGTATTACTACAATTGGTAGCACTTTGTTTCAAGGTCACCCGATATGCATGTTGCAAGTGGCTGATGAGTCATCCTTATCTCGACTTCGTAAAACAATGCCGCCTTTGTTTGCCATATATTATCTAGCCTTCCTCTAGAACAATGCCGCCTTTGTTCTCTCTATGCCACTGTCAGCGTTTCTTGGAATTGGATAATTCGCGACGCAATATTATACGAGAACAATGCAGCCTCTGTTTGCAGGTGTCCGATTACGTAACAACCTCATCCGATTGCATCATCCTTATCTGTGGGAGAACAATGCCTCCTTTGTTGGCAGGTGGCCAACGATGATCTCATCCTTATCTGTCCGAGAACAATGCCACCTTTGATCTCTCTATCAGACATGTTCAATCTTGAAACAAAACTTCATTTGTTCTGGCCAATTGCCCTATAGAGCAGAGGTCATTGAAAAGGAAGAAGAAGACCTCCTTTGTTAGCAGGTAGCTGATGACGTCACAATCTCAAACCCTATATAAGGCGGTTAGAACGTTTAGAGCGTCATTCCACTCTGAACTCTGACACTGGTCAGTCCATCTGCTCCACTCCTGTCTGTTCGGGTGATCCTGTCTGTTTGGTTGCTTCTGTCTGTTCCATTATATTTTGTGTGTGTGTTGTGGCAGGTGATTTTATAAGGTAAGGCTTCTCATTTATTTTCATAAATCTCAAGGTCATGTCATTTCTGTCTTTGATTATAATTCCGAGTAGGAAGATTCTAATTGGATGGATTTTTCAGCTATCAACGCTCAATTTGCTGTCTTCAAGCCGACTGTTGCTGTGAGTACCTTGCCTATCGACCAGTCCCACCCCATTGAAAACATTAGGGTGGCCCAGACACAATTCGGGGAAGCTATTGTGCTCAAACTTGAGGCATTTAGCGTCTGTCTACCAAGGTGGTTGCCACCTTCAAACCGCAGCTTCCGACTTTCACCTCAGACAGATACATCCTGACTTGCAAGAAGAGCGAGACTGTCAGCACCAGACCTGCTTAAGATTATTGAGAATTAGAGTTGAGTAAAATATTATTTTCTGTTTGATATTTCTCGCAACATGAATGTCAATAGTATTGCTTCTACTAGTGATGATATCGTTGAGAAATGTAGAAGAAAAGTGGAAATTTTGAGAAAGAAGAAGAACATATCAGCAGACGAAAGATTTTTATGGAATAGGCAAATAGGGGCGCACATAAGAGAATTCAATAGGGCAATCAGGGGGACCAATTCGACAGCGGGGGTTTTGAGAAAATTAGAAACTAATGTGGGACATTTGAAACGTTTTCAAAGTTTGATTAGGAAGAAGAATCATATTGGGGCGGGACTTGGCAATCGTAAGAATAGAGTTACATGGAGACTTGTTCAATCTGTTTTTGAGAGTAGAGTAAGGACGGCTGTTATAATCATTTTAAGTCATAAGGAGTTGATGCAATTTTTGCAGGACGCATCGCACATTTTCAAAATTCAAATCAGAAAAATATTGAGAGAATTAACCATGTTGAAAGTCAACACCACCTTCTGTGGTGAGTTTATCAAGAAATCGGATGACGCGGAGATTATTGAATTCAAATATTTCAATACTAAGAATGCTACAATGGATGAGGGAACGGATTTAGATTGTTGGTTCGCAGAGAATGTCATTGATGCCATAGTGAATAAACTTTCGGAATTCCAGGAGAAGGGTAGTGGCTGGGCCTTGAGGGAAATTGTCTCTTTAGAGGTTAATGTTAATAAATTAGAAATTGGCAATGGTTCATCATTCATTGCACTACCTGACCAAATATCCAAGAAGCGTGCCTGCATCAATGTGAAAAACACTGATGAGGCATGCTTTTTCTGGAGTATCGTGAGCGCTTTACATCCTGCTAACCGTAATGTAGACAGGCCCAGCTCGTATCCTCATTACAGCCAAGTTTTAAATACCGCAGGCTTGGATGTACCCATCACTCTCAACAATATCCCTAAATTTGAGAAAATCAATGATATTTCGGTGAACGTTTACGCCTTGGAACTGATTCATGTGAAAAAGGCAGAGTATTTTGAAGTAGTACCCATGAAACTCACGAAACATAAGCAGCCCAGACATGTCAATCTACTTCTCATTCAAAGTGAATATTTCCCCAAGCCCAACGATCATGATGCATTGCCTGAAGATGATTACGACGAAGAAATAAGTTATCATTATTGTTGGATAAAGGACATGTCCAGACTGCTATCTTCACAGCTCAATAAACATGATCATAAAAAATATTTCTGTGATAGGTGTCTAAATTATTTCTCAAGTGAACCAAAATTGGCAGATCACAGTGTTGTATGCGAAAATGTCAATGAATGCAAAATTTCATTCCCCAAATACGATTCGGTTATTTTCAAAAATCATATATACAAGCAAAAGGCTGAATTCATCATCTACGGTGATTTTGAATCGGTCTTGGAGCACTGTCATGACAAAATTTCTGAAAAAATGGTGAAATATCAAAAACACACAGCCTTCAGCGCAGGGTACTATTTCAAATGCTCATATGATGATAGCTTGTCCTATTACAAGAGTCATCGAGGTCCTGATTGCATGGATTGGTTTGCCATAGAAATGGCAGATGTCGCGAAATTTGTACAGTCTAAAATCAAAGACATTGTTCCTCTGACTCATTTCCCAGATAAGGTTGGTGTAACACACTGCCATATCTGTGAAAAGGCGTTTGCGGGCACTGATATCATTGTTAAAGACCACCATCATTTCACTGGTGCCTTCAGGGGGTGGGCGCATCAATCTTGTAATTTGGGGTACCGCAAGTCCTTCGTAGTGCCCATAGTGTTCCACAATTTTTCCGGATATGATTCTCATTTCCTTCTGAGAGAGATTGCCAAACGTGGACAGGTGAGCGTACTACCAATAAATATGGGGAAATACATTTCCTTCACCCAACACAACTCTGAAACCGGTATTAAATTCAGATTCATCGACTCTCTGAGATTCCTGGGTGCCAGTTTAGACGAATTAGCATCCAATTTAACGAAGGATAGCTTTCAAAATTTAAGAAAAGAATTCAATCAATTGGTCGCTTCTAAATTCGATCTACTCACAAAGAAAGGTGTTTTTCCATATGACCACATCAATAGTCCAAGCAAATTAGACGAAACTGAACTTCCACCCATTGAGAACTTTTATAATAAATTGAACGATGAACATATCGATGATGTGAAGTACGCTCATGCTCAAAACGTATGGCGACAATTTGGATGTCAAAATTTAGGTGAATACTCGGATTTATACATGAAAACAGATATCCTTCTTCTGGCAGATGTTTTCGAACAATTCAGAGAAGCTGCTTTGAGGACGTATACCTTAGATCCGGCTTGGTATTACACTCTTCCGGGTTATACGTGGGATTGCATGCTGAAGTACACAAAATGTTCGTTACAAATTTTAAAAGATGTTGACATGCTGATGTTTGTCGAAAAGGCAATAAGAGGCGGTATTTCGGTTTGTTGTAACCGCTATTCTGAAGCCAACCATAAGTACACTTCAACATACGATCCTACGAAACCACCAAAGCATCTTCTCTACTTGGACGTTAACAATCTATATGGATGGGCAATGTCAAAGCCCCTCCCTTATGGAGGGTTTGAATGGACTGATGCCAACATTGACGTCACATTGATTCCCGACGATGCGCCAGAAGGATATATCTTACAAGTAGATTTGGAATATCCAGAAAACTTGCACGATCTACATAAAGACTTTCCGTTTTGTGCCGAACACCGCAAGCCACCTGGTTCCAAGTTGGCAAAATTGATGACCACGTTACACCATAAAAAGGAATACATCATCCATTATGTTAATTTGAAACAAGCTCTGGCTAATGGCTTAAAGCTCACCAAAATTCACAGGGTAGCGAAATTCAAACAGTCCACGTGGTTGAAGCCCTACATTGATCTGAATACTGGATTGAGGGCTGCAGCCACGAACACATTCGAAAAAAATTTGTATAAACTGATGAATAATGCCGTGTTTGGAAAGACGATGGAAAACATTCGTAAACATCGCGTCGTCAAATTATGTTGATCATGGAATGGACGCTATGGGGCTA